AATATCATTACTGTGGCAAGAGATTACCTTTGGTAGTTTTATTTTCCATGTGTACATGAGAGCTCTTTAGTTGAAGGGACTTACAGATGTCTGGGTATTTAGAGGTACTGAGACAATGACACGAGGCTGGTGTTAAGGAAGTCCTTTGAGCTAACATACAGTCTTTGATGGTTGGTGCCTGCGACTCTGTTATCATAACACTCCAAAATTTGGCAAGCAGAACAGAGAATATTTCTTCCCAAGTTCCCACATGATGAGAGAGGCAGAAAGAGGTGTGGAAGTGTAATAGAGTGAGGAAAGAAATATGTTGCTGCTACTCCACAGAAAATTGAACTCAGAGGAGCATCCTGCAAGTTCAAGCAGATACAAGAAACAGCCAAGGGTATAGTCCTGGCACAACGAACAAAGCCACTGATCTATATATAATGATTTTATTACTCTCCTTTGGCATGTGTCCACCCTACCCCTTGAACGTGATCCACTTTCCAGAAAAGGATCACAACAATTGGTTCTGAATTGGGGACACATGAACTCATTAGTGCCTTGAAAGTGTTGGGATCTCAACACATTCTTACTGCTATGATTGACAACAAGCAGTGAGTTCATGCAGCTGTCATGAAGTTATGATTAGCCTGAATGTAATTTCTTAGTTGTTGAGTAAACACATGGTTGATGAAGAACATCCCAGTTTTAACATTCCATGTAAACATAAATACACATCTTTTCATTCATCACAGATTTTTTTAATTAAAGGTTTTCACACAGCAAACATTAACGCTGATAAAACATGTCTGTGAAGGCTCATATTTGTGATCAGCCAACCATCGGTCAGGCTTTGGTCATCTCATATGTAAACCAAATCTAAATAAAAGTTTTGTGGAGAAATCTCAACTGATTAGAAAAACAAAAACATAATTTGATAAAAATACATATCCAACATATTTGTGTTTAAGAGAAACATATGCATTCAGAGAAGGCACATTGATGTGATGTGATCTTCCGCAAATGTATTGTCGCAATATATACTGTATAGTATATACCTCCCCAAACCTGAGTCAGTTCAAATACCTTAAAGACATAAGTATAAACACAATTGAGCAAGGTAACATGGGAGTCGAAATAGTTTGCTAAAGTAAGTGATAAACTGTTTAATTTGCTAAGAGAGGACAAGTTAGTAATGGGTCAACAGTTGAAAGGTCCTGCCTCCACTCAAAGTATGTAGTGGCAAACTTGACCAAACTTCATACTCACTACATCCAACTGAATGAAAACATCCTGTGGCATTACTCACAGTTTCTGGTGCAAAGTAACATCCACTTTAAAATCAGCTGACAAGAGCACATTAGAACCAAGAACAATTAGTGTCCATGTACCCCTTCATGGACACTACCTGAACGCTCAGATAGATACATGTTGATATAGTTGACTAAAAAAGCCCCCAAAAAGGCCAGGACTTAGATATCAATATTTGTATTGTACAAATGCCATAGCAACTTTAGGTTCAGGGCATCCAATTCCCCATTAGTACAGTATTAATCCTTCATACACTAAAATCTAATTCATCAAATCTCTCTCATCACATTGGTGATAAACAACAGTGACATGTTGATACAACATTTTCTTTTTATTTTCAGGATAAGAGAACATTTCAAGCACATTATATCATCAAGCAGATATCCTGCTGTAAACACGAATGGAGAACATCAGAGACCACCACCTCTGCTGATAAATTCCCTCTGTCATCCATTTGTCCACGTGCAATGAATCGCGACGCAAGCATCTTGGCGGAAGTAATTTCGTAATCCTCATCGTAAAACACAGGATCAAATTTTGAATGGATCCCTGTCTCAACTAAATGCCATCCCTGTCTGAGTGAGGAGGACATTAATGAGGGAGGGGGGGGGGGGTTGTATCTGTTCCCGCGGTCCAGAGTGACACTTGGAGCTGGAACTACTTTACACCCCATTACACTGGCAGGCCCGAGGATGGAGGGAGGGAATCACAGCAGCCCAGACCACACTAGAGATTCCACAAGTAGCATAATAACAGGCTGGTTTATAGAGAGCAAGCTCTGATCCACCCATCCACAGACACCCCCACCCCCACACACGTTCTTACTTCTATCTCAGTAAGGACAGTCATTGGACATAAAACAATCCCCAGTCCCTTACCCTAACCTCAAAAACTAAATGCCTAACCCAAACCCTTGACCTAAACCTAGTTCTAACCCTTTAACCAAGTCTTAACCCCCAAACAGTCCATTAAAGGGGGGTCACAAAGTGAGGACCGGCCAAAATGTCCTCACTCCACAGGTTAAAGTCTAAAACTGGTCCTCACAAAGATAGCTGTACAAGAGCACACACACACACAAGCACACAAACACACACACGAGCACACACATACACACACGAGCACACACATACACACACGAGCGTTCACTAAAATGGCACTCGGTCGAGCTCATACATTTGCCAAGGTCCAACAATCACACCTCAACAGCTTAAATTCAATGAAACCACACCTAATTGCACACACCCATAAATATCAGCCCACTAATAAACATGCCAGATTGTTTCTTCATGAATTATTCCCTGGGAAATCAATGAAAATTAAAAAAAACACAATTTTCTGATTTGCCCCCAAATTTAATCAGCCAGTCAAATTGAATTTGTATGGCCCATATTCACAAATCACAATTTGCCTCATAGAGCTTAACAACATCCTCTGCCCTTAACCCTCAACAGAAAATAAAATTCAGAAACCACAAAACCCTTTATGGGTTCTTTCTTGGCCAATGTCCCATCCTTCCACCAAGTTTTGTGGAAATCCATTAAGGACTCTTAATGAATTCTGCTGACAAACCAACCAACCAACAAAACAGCCAACCAACACAGACAGGGCGAAAACATAACCTCCCATAAGAGGTATTCATAATATTAATGATGGCCTTATTCCATTGAAGCATCCCAGTAAGCCATACCAGTGAGACAGAGCCAACATGCACACTGCCAGGACCATGAACGTGAAGCAGTTAAATGGAATTTAGTCACTTCTCATTGACACTTGTGGGTCAAAATGTCCGTAAAAAAAAAACACTAGTGCTGCTTACAGATGCATTAAGGTGTTCATATAAAAAAACCTTAAATCAACCTTATCTGCACAATGATTCAAGTCACTACAAAAGTAAACATATATTCCATCATTTCATATTTAGACTGCAAACTTGCTCTACTTTGATTAAAGTTCAGTGGAGCTGAAATGATGCTTCTCCAGGCTGCACGTAGGTGAACACTCACAGAGCGTTGCATGGATGGCTTTTTTTCTTTCAAACTTTCTCTCAGGACTGTAATTAATAACATAAATGATGGTTCAACTCTATTAAGTGTCGCAGTAAAGCAGTGAGCCAGTATGTAATATGCAATAAGTACATCTGAATATAACCATACTGCTATTATACTGTATGTCACAGTGCTGTGAAAAACTTGCATTAGTGCAGAGGGTCTCTCAGCAGAGCTCCACTTTACTTCAACCTTCGCTGAGATCTCATCAGCCAGAATAATGTGAAAACATCTGTGTGGTAGAGCAGCATCTTTAATGTGACTATTCAATTTCTGTTTCATATAAGTGATGTAAAAAGCTGAGTTAAATTCCCCATATCCTGCCTGAGCCTATCACTTGTACTGCTTTCTCCAATGGACGAAAATAAATGAGTGAGAAAAAATCTTATCATAGCTTTTATATGTGCACTATATATTAGCGTTACAATAATGGAAGTGAGTGTGTATGGTTACGCCATTTGCTCCTCTCAGGAGGGCTTTTATCAGCTAACAGTACGAAGACCATCAGCTCACCATACCCTCCCTCTTTGTTCCGTTTCCTCTCACATATCTTCATGTCATCGTCTCCAGCCAATGTAACTCTCATTATAACTTTGCGCAATGCCTTTCAAACAGTGTTTTTTAAACTAACTCTCAGAAGCTCTCAGACCATCTCCGGTAACTCTAGATGGCCAAAAGATCACATTACCTTCCTGTCCTCTGCTGCCTTTAGCACACTACTATCAGGAAGTGTTAAACTGTGTCAATTTATCACACTCTTTTTACCGCTCTAAACACCAGACAGATACTATGTCCTACGTCTGGGTCGCTTTATCTGCAGCCTTCTCCATTTCAACATTGCCTAATTTCCCCCCCCTACCACTTATCATGTTGTTACCTCAGAAAACAACAAAGCTGCTTATCATATGACCACAATGTGTCAGAGAAGGAAGTGAAAAAAGCTCAGAAATGTTATTAGTTGGTCATCCTCTGGGCTTGTGGGCTGACTTTAAAACTAAGAATTTTAAAGTTCGAGGTACAGTAGCCTTATAACAAGACAGGAGAGTAATGTAGGTGAAATTAAAATAGCAGTCTGGTGGAAGTGAACCCTGTGTTGCAAACTCCATATCCTCTAAGAGGTGGACAAAATCCGGCTCATCTCTAGTTGACGACTGGTGGTTTCGCTGGCTGGAATGACAGATTTTATTAAACAATGTTTGTAAATGAAATCAGAAGGCGAAGGCGGTCAAAACATACCAGAGTAAGTTATGAAAGGATTGGATTTTTACTATTTATTGATTATGTTAAGCACTTAACAATGAATTTAAATTTGTTCCGATACTGATACTTTTTTTATTGGTTCTGGACTTTTCTTCTATGTTATGTTTTTCATTTTTTCAATGTGCCATCTCCACTGCTGTCTGTCAGGCCTTTACCCGAGCACCGGCTGCCTGCCTGGGCTGATAATAAAAGCAGCTTCACATGTACAACAGTAGGTTTCGTTCAGCCTTGGTTTTCTTCTTTTAAGATTTGCTTGCTGTACATTTTTTCAGCTCTTTCTTTTTTTTCAGCAGTTGAAAAACTTGTTCAAGTGCTGGCAGTTGCTTTCTAAACTTTCTGAGCAGGAGGTGCAGGATAATGGTGCTAATAACCCCCGTCACTATGTTTAAAACAGCTCAAAGAATAGAGTTGTCAGCAGAGTGAACACCTCCTATTTTCTAGTCAAAGGGCTTTCCTTGGCAACTCCGGCTAAATATACACATTTTGCACAATTACAGGTGAATAAGGCTGACAAAAGTAAAACCTCACATTTGACCTGCATAGTAAATCCCTAAAGCGAAGCTGGTAACTGAAAGCTCTGAATCATGAAATTAATTAAGGCAGGATTAAAAACACTGTCAAGCACTAGTGAACAATGGAAGGGAGAGGTGCTGTAAGTAAGAAGTATGTGAAATAAGTGATTGTTGTCAGCTAAAAGTGTTACTGCTAATACAGCTTTTAATAAAGGATAAGGATGAATTAGAGCATCTCTGTGCTTGTATTACACAGTATCAGGGTACGCATTTAAGAAAAATCTAAAATATGCGTCTATGAGAAATATCAGCATGCCCTACTCATCATCTGTTATCACTTACAGTACATGGCAACTGTCTCACCTCATAGGACCTCATGTGACGCATCGACGCAGGAAGTGTAGAATTGCTGTCATCTATCACTTGCTGCAGCTCCTCGCACACCTTCTGCGGCAGCACCACAGGATGTCCGATGACATTGACCTCCCAACTAGTTACAATTCTGAAAACACACACATACACACAGCAGGGGTGATTTACAGTGACTGCCACAATATTATATAATCAGAAAGGAACCTAGAAATAGCTGCTGTACATCCCCACATTGAAGCATTCTCCCTGCCGTTTTAATTAAGCAGTTTTAAATTGTAAACCAAAATGGATAACTAGGGATACATAAAAGTGGATTGATGGTGAATGTATAAGTCGAATCAATCTGTATCTGTGTGTGTGTGTGTGTGTGTGTGAAGCTAGATGAGGGGACTGAAAAGAGAGGAGGAAGAGTGATTGATGCTCTGTCAGAGTGTGGAGCTGATCCAGTTTGTTTGGGTGACATTTAGCCATCTGCACAGTTCCTGAGAGGAGAAACTATTCTCGAAGTTTTTACAGTTCTACTTTAGACATCACTGCTGGCTTAGCATTGTTCACACAGGAATGGGCTCTTTTATTTGGTGGCAGCATGGTTGTGCACCTCTGTGCACTAGCTGTTGCCTCATTGCGATTTGAATCCTGGTTCAGCTGGGGTCTTTCTGTGTTGAGTGTGCATGTTCTCCTCGTGTCTGCGTGGGATATCTCTGGGTACTCTTGCTTCCTTCCGCAGTCCAAAGACATGAAGATTGGGGTAAATTAGAAACTCTAAATTGTCCGTGGTTGTGAATGTGAGAGTTGGAATAGATGGACGTTTGCATGGATGTTTGCTTGGTCTGTGGTAATACTGGTTGCTGCTTTCTTTCTGAAACTATAAAAGTAAAGACCGGCTGCTGAAGCTGCACCACCGCTGCTGCACAAGGAGCTGGTTATTCATATTTCAGTTAAGCTAGACTCAGAACACAGAACCCAGAGCTGGAGAATCGGTTGTTGTTGACGTGAACACACCGTTGTCATGATCAACAATGTCTGCGATGTAGATGAGTCACACTGCTACAGAGCACTGGTCGTCTATTTATTACAATATTATCATTATTGAATGTATAGAACAAAAGATTTGTTCCACATAGAGACAGAGATTTCTGGAGATCTCTTTAGGAACTATCAGCCACTCAACAACTAGGGTCTTAATCAGGTTAAAGCTTCTGAAGTCTACATATTGATCCAGTCTACATCATGACTCTGTGCAATGTCATGGAGTTAATGTAGGATTTGATCAATCAATTAACTAGAATTAATTCAATGGAAAAAAGTTGCATACATAATTTCCATTAGACTCAATTTCTATATCTATGAGGGCTTCCTGTTCCCCAATTGTACCAGCCTGTGGTGGTGCCTGCGACTTTCACTCAACTCATAATCAAGTCACTGCCATTAGTGACAAGCGTAATCCACTTTGGCATTGGCTCACTGATTCTCCAGCCAATTATTGGCAGTTTTAACCACACACACTGCAACCTCTGGCTGCAGCTGACTGTAACCGACTGTATACCCCGAATAAGAGGGTCATCGTCCTGGGAATTCAGCTCCCCAGGCATAACATTTAATTTAAAAATGTCAGAGATGAGTGATGAAGGATGAATGGTAAATTATGTAGCAGGGAAATGGAAGTGTGAGTAACATTTAGCTTTCCGAAACTTCAGAGAAATGTCAGAAGTCGGTGAAAAAAAGAGTTGCTAAAATGGTAAGTACCTCACGTCTGTTTTATAAGTGATGATGAAACTGGGATTTTTTCTTACTGCACATACAGAATATTGATACCTGCTAACAAATTGGTGAATAAGTAATAAGAAGTCACAGAATAGATACATGAAAGATGTGATTGAGATTAGAAACAGTGAGCCTCAAGCAAGAACATACTCATAATCTGATTGTAAATTTCTGCGACATTTGTTCATAGGGTGAGTTCGCAGGAACATGCCACGTCAGATTCAACACTTCCATCTTCAGAAAAGTGTGTAGATGACATGCATAAGCAATGATAAATACCGCCTGTGCATATTTGAGCAAGCGTGAACAAAGATGTCAAATTAGCTAAATTAACGCCCCAATTATCCCCCCCCCCATGTTAGAAGTGTATATTTATTAAAAAAGGCATCAAAGAGTAAAAAGAAGAATTTACGATTTTTGAATTTGAAGTCCTGATTTCAGAGATTCAAAAAGCTAAAGTCTAGACTTTTTAGCGCATGTCAGAAGCGGAGTTGAGAAACAGACTAAAGCGGTGCTGTTGATGCTATGTCACCTTTAGGTCACTGAAATAAAAGAAAAATTGTCTCGTCGAAGCGACGTGATGGATGACTGTCACAGAGGGAGGTCAAGCAGAAGTCTCCATCACTGAAATAGATGAAACAATTACAGACACGTGTGCATTATTTTACAGCACATGGTTGTTGTACGGTCCCCAGGACATTACCACACTGCAATTGTATGCATTTGCCAACCAGTGCAATTTCCATGTACATATTTCTACAAGCTTTTTTTCCCCCCAGTCACTGTGACCTTGCTTCGACCACTGAAACATAATCACTTTATCTGAAAATCTTAGTCCAAGTGACGATCAAAAGTTTCAAGCAGTCTTGAGAGTTCACATTCAAGAGGCCAAAAACATGTCTTTGAGGCCACTGTGACCTTTGACCACTGAAATCGAATCAGTTGGTCGGTGAGTCCAAGTGAATTGTACCAGATGTAACGAAATTCCCTACAAGCAGTCCTAATATATCATATTCACAGGAACATGAGGTCACTCTGACCTTGACCTTTGGCTACCAAAATGAAATCCAAGGTCAAGGGAATTTTTGGACCAAATTTTCAGAAATTCCATCAAGGCATTCTTGAGATATTGCGTTCGCAGGTTTGCGTTCATGGGACGGACAGACGGACAACCCGAAAACATAATGCGTCTGGCCACTGGTTGTCACTGACCCTGAGGCATAAAGGCTTCATCTGAATAACAGCACACATCTCATATAACATTTCTGGACCAGTCTTACATTCTGTTCATATCTGGAAAAACTCAAAATTCAATTCAACTCCTAAATCACTCGTACGCACAACTTAACAACAAAGCTGTTCGTTCTTGCAGTTCTTGCATAAGGCCCAGTGTCCCCATTACACAGTTTGTCAACTAGAGAGCAACAACAGGAGACATTTTTTATTTTCATATCTAGCAATGGGCAATGTTGGATCAGCGATTTTAATACTCTACAGTACGAATGTTTCCCGGGCATCACTCAGCTCACAGAGTTTATCATGTAATTTTAAATGGAGTCTTACTGCTTTGACTGAGAAGACAAGCCTTTCTCCTTTCATGCGAGCTTTTCCTCTAATTACCATTTCTCCCGCAGTTAGCCAGTGAGCTTGTCAAAATGCTAGAAACAACAAAACTTCCCTGTTCTGCCTTCACTCTCTCTGGCTGCCGGGAGGAGGAGGAGGAGGAGGAGGAGGAGGGGAAAAAAAACACTGAGTGCTGATTCAGATGAAAATAATGAGGGTGGAAGGCTCTTCCAGTGGGGTGGTGCTGTACTGAGTATGGAGAACCACATGCAGCACATCCACCCACACCTCTCTGATGCATCACAGCAAGGTACACAGAGCTTCGCTCCAGTCAAAACAACATCCCCTGTATGTGCAACAAACATGAGCATGGCTTATGCAACTGACAACTTTTGAGATGATAAACACCTTTGATGGCAATCTCATTTGCAAAATTACAGGCAATTACATCTGAGCAGGGACCCTTAGCGCAGAACCTGTTCGCCAACAGTCGTCTTTCATCCCTCACAGACAGCTGGTGATTGAGTGGGTGCGTTGGATAGATGAAAGGATGAGTTTAAGAAGAGGAAAACAATGCTTGGAAAAAAAAAGGGGGGGGCTTGGGAGTTGAAGTGGTGGAAGATGCAGTGAGTGGCCTTGCTTACTCTCTCTGCATGATGCCCAGGTTGGAGCAGGCTACGTAGAGCAGTTTCAGGGCTCTGGCAGCTCTGGGTGATGGACTGTGAAGAGCCCCGTCACACGTCTCTGGGACTGACGCCATGATGGAGTCGCTGTTCAATAGCCAGAGCTGCAGGAGGAGCAGACAGGTCACTTAACACTTAAAGAGACACATACTCGACGTCACACAGAGAAGAAATCACACTCCATCACATCAGCTCAACACCTCTGCCCATGCTGATTAGGGTCAGAGTAACACTTTGGGCCCATAATGTGCTTTTAGTGACCCTCGTGTTCTGCTCTCTAAAGCTCATTAGACATTTTTTTTACAGTGTTTAATCGCTTAAATATTTCATGATTCATGTTACTTTAATCCGCTATATCAGCTACATGTGTATAGCTCATATAAGATATAAAATATTCCAGGTGCTGTAACACCATCATTTCTCCCGACATGTACAGTTTGTGGCAAACTGTTACTAACTCAATACATTTTTTACATACTCTGTTTTAATAAGTCAAAAAAAGGAACGATTTATTGAATAAAAGGCGTCACTGTGACCTCTGACCACTGAAATGTAATCAGTTCATCTTCAAGAACTTTCACGAAGGCAGAGTTTGTACAGGTACAAAAAACACATACTGGTGCAAACATACTATGCCGTACAAAACAATTCTTTTTTGTTGCAACAGTGTTATACTGTTTTACAAAGATCTACTAATCCATGTGTGGCTGATTTAAAAAAAGCTAAAGAGTAAGACCTGGCAGGATTCTCAACAACTAGAACTAATCAGTCAATTAGCTTCATGTATCACTTGAAGAACCTGCAGCACGCTCCTTCCCATTTCTCAAATAACTGAGTGGTCTATTTTTAATAAAACGTCATGTGTGTTCCCTGATTATCTGATTACAACCACTTCTTCTTACCAATAAGAAGGGTTTTTCATCAGGAGTTTGGACAGAGAAGTGGAAGGTGCTCAGTGAGTTGGACAGCTCCAACAGTCTGGCTGCTATTGTCCTCTCCACAAAGACAGATCTGTCCAAAAGAGAGAATATGTGTTCATTTCCAAGTTTTGCCTTGGAAACATATAAACAGTCAGTCATTTAACCAAAACAACACTGAGGAATCAAAACGTTTGGCAGGATAAGATTATTTTCTTGCTTCCTCTGAGACAGAGTTTTGGAAAATATGTGACTCTTTATGGTCATGCAAATGCAGAGGATTTTCATATTTGAAAATCTCCAGCCAAGAAATTCAGCTTGTGATTAGGTTCATAAACAGTTAAGGAGGAAAGTGGATTTTAAAACAAAACAATCAAACATGGTGTGACAATGATGTACAGTATTTGTTCATTTTCCTGTTTATAATCCATTTTTAAAGGAATTGTATGTTGATTCTAAATTGTGTACATGCAAAATAGTGATTTGAAGGGGATAGCAAAATTGGCAGGTAATTGAGGAGGATGTTTTTTTGGTCATTTTTTTTTAAAGGGGTTGGCATCCTCCCTCGTCCCCCAAACAAATCGCCTGCTCTTGCACAATCTTTAAATAATTTAAAACTTGCACAATGACAGATGCGTTTATCAAAGGGTTTTATTCAGAACTAAATTTGTAACAGTGTCATTATTTTCTTTAATCGCCTGAACACAGAGGGCATTGTGCTTTACTCCCCCAAAACCTTCAGCAGAATACAATACGTGGTGTCGGACATTGAGTTAGCAGAGCATCTCCAGGTGTATATTGAGTGAAACCGACAGATAAATGAACTACAAGTGATTTATAGTCACTGCACTGGATTTATAGTGAAGGACAAAAATATACGACAGCAGTCACATTGATTAACCTAGGAGGACTTTGACTGACTGTATTTTAAAAGCTACTCTTTATTTATTTCCCTATGAAACTGCCTTTTTTGGCTACACTTCTCTATTTATCACCACTCAGAGCTTGGATTAAAAACTTGCCTCTTCATTGAGGCCTCTGTCTTCCTGTCTCCCACTGCAGGCTCCACCAACACCTGTGTGAAGTACAGTTTCAGGGTCCCTGTAAGATACAACGGAAGAGAGCTAATGTACACAACTGAAAACGATGTTTACGTATGAAAACCAAATAGAAGAATGTGTACCTGGTGCGATGGCTTCTCCCAGCACTTCAGAACAGCTCTGACAGGAGATGAGTGCCAGTCGGCGGCAGGGTTTCTATAAGGAACAAGGCAAAACCCAGAAACATAATCAGGGTGGAAGAGAGCCGAGGAGAGACAGAGACGGATATAAGGTCGGCAGATGTCATTTCTTCCCTTGCTCTTTCTAACTCTCTCTGTTACAGTCAAGCAGAGTCACTCATGCAGAAAATGACTAATAGAAAAACAGAGAGCTCAATCCTTGTCTAAAGTGTTAAAGAGTTCAACTTCACTGATGCAGCCGTGTGGGGATTGAGTGTCAGTGGGTGAGTATACTTTATGATACCACTATAAATCCCATTTTTGTGTTTTATTACAAAATCTTTTGACCATTTTGGTGCTTGCACCACTTCCTCTGTCACTGCAGCAAATACGCTTTTCTGCTTTAAGTTTTTCTAATCTTGTTCAGACTTTGTTGTCTTTTTGTTTTGTCTCTTTAAAAATTATTTCTAAATTTTTAGAAATTCCCTCAACTTTGCATTTCAAGAATAAAACAGAAACTCAAGAATTCAGTCAAACTAAATCCGAGTAGGAATTTTTTGGGGGATTTTGTGAATATGTTGCAATGTCGAGCGACTGACAGCTGTGCTGTGAGACGCCAGCATTCCACACTCTGAGCTTGTGGTTTCTTCCGCCTTCCGAATAGACGCAGTTTTTGGCACCAATTTTTCAAATACCTAACACTGATTACAACACTGTGTTTATAAGCAGAAAAGGAAAGAATGTCTGTTACTAAAACTGATTCTAAAGAACAATTTCACCAATTTATGTGCAAAGTAGTTTGATATATTCTAAAAAGTTTGAATTTTCAGCTTTTGTAATACGCAAAATTTTAAATAATCTTCTCGGATTTAGTTCAAATGTATTCTTGACATTTCAGCTTTTTAAATATTTTGACTCCTCGAGATGCAAAATGGAAGAATGAAATCTTCCAATGTCGTCTCATTACCTTTTTTCTTGTTACATTTCTTATGCCTGGCCCTAATACTCTTCCACAATACACAGTGAAGAACCTGAAATTATGTTTTTTCAGCGTTTGTCTTCCAGCTAAAGCAACGAACCATCACTTTCAGTTACATGTCTCTTACCTTTGACTCTTGACTGTCCTCTGTGCTGACTGGGCTCACTTCCTCTGTCAGAGTCTGACCACAGCTGTCATCTCTGGCTACAAGGAGGAAAGTGTCGCCCAGTAAACAGTCCTCTGCTCTGGGCAGCAACTTCTCCTTGGCAAACGGATCCGGGTGGCAACACCAGTCGTCCACAATGGCGTTCCAGTTTCCATTAGGGAGAGGAAGCACTCTCTTAAACACTCTGAAGAAGAGGGAAAAACGGTTGGGAGTTTTCTCTCTTTAATTGTCTATGTGGAAACTGGCTCAATAAGCAGTGAGTTCTCCGAGGATCAGAGAAGGTCAGAAACCAAAAGTGAAATTTATAAAAATGATTTCAGGGTCTGTAGCTGCTAAATGCTCCTCTGTGCTTCACCAGCCAGCTGCTAACCTTGTGATTCAGCCATTTGGTGCTAGTAAGTGAGTGCACTGTGGGGTTATAGAAGCTTTTTTGGAGGAAACTACTTCCTGCAGCTGGAGATGAGGCAGTGCCAAAGAAAAAAACTCTTATGCCAACAAACAAACCAGTGGGCTGAAAGATAGATTAGAACTAAATAGAGCTGATGAGATGATTGAGCCAATGTTAAGAAAAATATTTATTAGTCAGCTTTAATACAGCTCTTTTGTAATTCATTCCAGTAAAGCACTTGCTAACACAGTCTAATACAACACTTGTGCAATAACTCCTTCATGAAGGTGATAATGTTTCAGTTTCAACCTTATGATCACTTTGAAGGCTTTAGTTACCTCCACCAAGGGGGTTATGTTTTCACCCAAGTCTATTTGTTAGTTTGTTGGTTTGTTTGTTAGCAGGATTACACAAAAACTAAAAACCAATTTCCAAAAGATTGGATCTGAACCCATTTAATTTGGTTGCAGCTGTGGATTAATGGGCTGATCATATACTGCATATAAAGATGGACAAAAAGACAGGGAAAGGGACACCAAATCAACTTGATCACCCCCCGGTGGCTGGCTGCCTTATAGGTCATAAATCCTGCCTCCTCCATGTTAGCAGATGGGACATAGACCAAACTAAAAAAGTACATATCACATTTTTTTTCTCAAAGATAGTTTCTGTTATTTAAGGTAGTTCTTAACAGACACATCCACATATTGAAACCAATCCTACCCTTTGGACATTTTAGAAACTTGACCTTTAACCTTCTAACTTCCAGTTGCAAAGGTTTTACATATAACTGCATTTTATTTGACATTTTTGTTATTTAACTGTAATGTCTTGTATTTTAAGGTTGTCATGTTCTTTACTTAACATTTTGATCATCTTGATTCCTCTAATTGTTCTAATACTATGGTTTTTATGTAAATTGTGAAAACATTTTTTATAAGTATTACCTGTCTATTTAACTCGACATCATTAAAAATGAGTTTGATTTCTCGAGTATAAATAAAGGTTGTAAATGTTCATCTTTTCAGTAAGTTTGGTTTTAATTAGTTGATTAATGCAATGTCATGATCAACTGACCCGTGATTGGTCGAGCGTGTTGACCAGCAGAACTTTGATACCATCGCTCCACACCACGGCTACTACTGTGCAGACTCTGGCTCAAAAAGACGTCAATAAAGCAAGATGACGACACCCTTATCCGATATTTCGTCTTCATCCTCAATACAGTGGGTGAATGTGGTGACATGTTGTCCATCTTTATTTACAGGTTATTAAACTTTCTTGATTATGTTTTATGTCAAATAAATAATTTAGGTCATCAGACTTCTTAATTTTTCTTTTATATTTCTACTGTTAGTACCAGAAAATCATGTGCAGGATTGTTTGGCCTGGGCAGAAGTATACAGTCCACCAAGTGGCATTCAACTGTTTCTTATTATACAGAAGTATTTCTGTTATTTAGCCTTCCTCCAATGATATGAATGGGGTGGACAAAACAATGGAAACACCTAAGGCAACACAACACCACAAACTGCAGCCTCCAGAACAATCATACGGTTGAATCAACTCCACTCTAAAACTTTAAACACAAATCAAGCACTATAACTTGCTGCAGGACTGTAGTGTTAGACTGTTCAAGGCTGCACAAAGACCATTTGTAGAGGGCACCTTGTGATGGTTGCACTCAATGCTAGCAATACCTCAGAGCAGCCCAAAAATATATTGTTGATGTTACAAAGCATTATTTTGCAATATGTTGTTGAAATTATAACTTTTCACTTCACTGCTGACAGTTTTAACTTCCCGAGACCCAGTTGAAAGCAAAAAAAATAAATTCTCGCCAACTTTTATTGGGTTATTGCCGAGAAACAGAGCCAGAGGGCAAGGGTTTCTGTAATGCAGCTATTGCAATTTTCAGCATGTCACATTGCTGACCAGAGAAAGCTACAAGCTGAAGGCAATGAGAACAATACCCCTGTCCAGCTGAACCACCCCAAGGTAAGAAACACAATTGTTTTTTGGTGTTGTTATTTTTTTTAAATAGGTAGTGTAGACCTTTACGTCACACCCACTCTATAACTCTAACCCAGTCAGGCTGACAACTGTGGACTCCAGCTCCGGCTCCATCCATCAATTTTTCTTTCTCAGACTAACGCTTCCACTGCTGGGTCACACCATCAATAAACTCTTTGCTCCTCTTCCTGCGGAGGAGGGTGTGAATAAAAACCCATTTCCGCTGGTGACCCCCCCCCCCTCCGTCTGTTCCTCACCTGTCCTCCAGCAGCCTGGTCATGCAGCCTTGGCAGTGGAAGCAATAAGTCTCTTTTGCCCGTAGCGTCTCCATCACACTGTCAGCAGCCTCTGTGGAGGACCAAAGGCAAGCAAAAAATGAGCCAGATTAGGTGAAAGGGTGGTAACCTTGTAGTACAGAGCACAAGAATCGATGGAATGCTGGGTGGTGGCGGTGGCTTGGCCTGAGAGCGGACCATAAATCTGATTTGGATTGGACTCGTCAGTGACTGTCCTTTGCTATAACTCACATCTCAAACTAGGAGTCAGACAATAATCTTAGGAAATGCCAAAAGATGGAGTTTGGGGGATAACATTATTATACAATGACTCTGGAGACAACTTTGATGATATGAGATAAATTCCAAACTTAAAGGGAGTATTATCATGACTCTGATGATCAGTTGCATGTGGGCTGCTAAGTATCCTGAGAGTAAAATCTACAGCCGCACTGTCTCAGATGACCAAGTGACTCAGTCCAATTAATTTAGAATAGACAGCGAGCTCTAAATAGCAACTAAAAGACTTTGTTCTCGTCCTGGCACAAAGGAGTTTAGCAAAGCAGAGGGACGTTACACGTGTCTGGATACGTTTCCATTCTCATCCCAGACCGTACCTTCATCTGAGCTCTTTGCAACATTGATGCGCAGTCTGTAATGTAGCTCCTCTTCGCAGGATTTTCCTGCAGATGTAGGAATGCAGGATCCCGGCTCCAAGGTGACTCCTGGTGGCAAACCCAGGCTCAGGTCACCTTGCAGAGTCCGGACGCAGAGGGCTGAATCTCCACCTGTCACAACCACATCAGCAGGACTTCCAGCTCCATGTTTCCTGAAGAGCAGACATGAGCACAGTTTTATAAGCACAAGTTTGATGTTATTACCACAAAAATTACGGCTTGGTAGCAAGATAAGTGGTTATGAAATGACTAACCTATGAATTCTCTGCTTCATTCACTTCAGACAAATAAAAGAAAACGAATAAGCAACTATATTCATATGCGATGAATCATTTTAGTTTATTTAAGTTTAACTTTAAGCCAAAATAAACATTTGCTGGATCCAGCCTCTTGGGTGAAATTATTTAATGGTTGTCTTTAGATTTTAGAGTAAACTGTGGATCTTTGGGTTTCAGACTATTGCTTGAATAAAACAAGAAATCTGAAAAATGTTTAAAGCACATTTGTAAAGGCAAAAGGAATCACTGAGAAAATAATGTGATGCTTATGTTAAGTCAAAGATTAGATTATCTAGGCTAGACTAAACTTTTCACAATACTACAACATAAATAAAGAGGACTTCTCATTTAGTTTGAGCTTCTCCAAGGCTTTATTTTGAAATTACTTCAGGAAAACTACACCAGATTGTATTCTTAAGTGTTAAGACTAGATTTTATTTTTTAATTTCTGAACTAATACATTGGTTTGTCTATAAAATGCCAGAAATTGTCGAAAGGATCATTTCTCAGAATCTAAATTTTAAAAAAATTCACTACCAACAGCACTAAAAAAATTATTGAAATGACTGATCAGTTATCAAACAAATAAATCACCTCAAGTTATGACTTCTGTACGAGAGAAACTGGTTCATATTAGAGTCTTTATTGTTCATACTTGGTGAATACGAAGTGAACCAACAAGCTGATTCCAAACTCAAAATCACACTGGAAAATGCATTTGACCATTTTCTCTTGTTAAAGAAGTCTGGATTCAGGACATACGTGATGCAGAACAAAATGTAAACCTTCAACGACAAGTTCTCTTGAATGGCAGCAGTGCAATAAAAGGTAGAGTAGCTAAAAGTGAGAGTCCAGAGCCTGTTCCACTTCTCCCTGAAGAACTGAGCTTAATACAGTGAAGCACTGATCCAAATGATGTCACTACAATCATACATACTGCCTCCACCTCCTGCTGGATGATGCTGTCTCAGCAAAAAAGAAGAACTGAGTAATGACTAAACTCCTGAGGGCCGCACCCTGAGAGAAAACAGAGAGCAGCTCCTCTGTTGACGTGGATGCACTTCAAGGAATGTTACTCCATTTACACCAACGCTCCTTCACAGTCCTTCCCTGAGTCGTCTGTGGTTTTTATTTAATTTCCTAGTATGACAAATATTTCCTTTAAGCTCTTATAGTCTTCACATAGCTTCCAGCCATGTATTAGCTGTTGAAAATACACGTACATGTAGTAAGAATAAGATTTGTACAGAACCAGGCCTCCACTGTAAATTAAGCACAAAGGACATGGTTCACTTCACTTCATGACATATCTCCTTAGCACCATCTACTGTTGTTACAGGTGTGCTACATCCACTTTCAGCCAACAGAGATGCCCCTTATTAAAGACACATCATTATGGCATACAGTTATTTAATAGCTAATCATATTTTATCACAATAAATATTAAATACTAGTTTACAAAAGAACTCATAAACATATATATCCAGCGACTTTGAGAGCTTTGAAAAGGGTCATATAAATATGATGTATTCCACAAACATTCCAAACACAGTATATAATACTATTAACTTTCTTGTTTTATGACATAATTCTATCACATTATTTTTTTACTATTGTGCCTTTAACTGATAGTCAGGCTACATTGTGCGATGCCAGGAGACACTGGGTGAGTCTCTGGTTATTATGTGACCTTGGTAGAAATTGTTTTGGCTGGATTTAATGTATAACTGACTCATTCATCAGGAGTAGAACGGGATCAGAATCAAAAACAAAAGATCTCATAAGGCAGAATTGCCACTTGTCAGTGTAACATCAGTGTTACCTCTGTCAAGGAGGTTATGTTATCACTTCTGTCTGTTTGATTGTTGTTTGTAAGCAAGATTACGTGACGCCAACTGAAAGGATTACCAAGAAACTTGGTGGAAGATGCAGTATGAGCCAGGGAAGAATCCATTCCATTTTGGTGTGGATTCAGAACAGGGGCGGATCCAGGATTTTTTTTCACTGAGTTCCCCGGGAATGATTCATACATTTTGATGAAAAAATTAATAATCTGGATCTAGTGAGTTTAAAGGTTCAGTGTGCAGAATTTCACATCTAGTGGTGAAGCTGCATGTTGCAGCTGAACACCCCTCACCTCGCCCTCCCCTTCCAAACGTGGAAGAGAACCTGTGGCGGCCTTCAGTTTTCATAAAAACTCAAAAGATGTTTAGTTTGTCCAGTCTGGGCTACTGTGAAAAACATGGTGCCCTCTGCAGAGAGAACCTGCTCCTAATGTAAATATAAAGTATTTCAATATACAGGGGCCCATTCTAAGGTATACCTATCACTAGGATTATTTTATAGTCAATTTCTGCCAATAGATCCTTTCATCTAAATCTTACACACTGAACCTTTAAATGTGGATCCATAAGTGGACTTCTGGGCCATGGTGGAGGTATGTGCTCAACTGAGTCCCATTCTAGTTATTCTACAGATTCGTTATTACTGGAGTATAGATATGAAGTATAAATAATTACTGCAACACAGAGAACAAGGATCACTGGGTGTCACTGGTGTTGTGGTGCAATTTGCTGCTTCTCTACATTTTTAAAGATACAATAAGGAGACGCCACAGACTTCTGGGAAAAAATGATCTTAGAAATTGTGAATTGTGTTTGACAGTAACATTAGAGTTTGTATGTTGTTTGTACATTTTAGAGTTAATATCCATAGCTGAAGCTTCTGCAGAGGGAACAGTGAGGTGAGTTGTACTACAAACTACAGTTTGGAGCATGTTACTGAAACTAGTTAGTTAGTTGGCTAGTAAACTGTTAGCTTTGTAGTTAGTTGGCTGAGATTTAACACCAAGTCTATGCTACTGAGCTTAGCTAGCATAGCTGCATTACACCTCGTTAGCCAACACATACCACACAGTCACCAGACTGGTGCACTAGTTCATAGTTACCTGACGATGAGGAGTCCAGTGCGGAGCCTCCTCCTCAGCTCTAAGAAAACTCCGACCTCGTGTGTTTTTGTCTGCATCTCTAAACCCGCCATTCTGTTCCTGCGACACTAAGGAAGGAAACACTAAAAGAGACACTCCACTAATCCGCGCTCAGTGTGCTGTGTGACTTTGCATAGAGAAAGTAATCTCAGGAAAACGAACACATCGGTGTGTCTCACTGATGTGCTTGAATCCACGGGGTGTTACTTGTCCGCAGCGTGTCCGCAGCATCCGTGTGTTTACCTCAGCGAGGGAGAAACATCCGCTCAGGCTTTTCAAAATAAATACCCTCCTTTCACGTTTTGGTGACAAACGTCTGATAAAGGTGTCACGTTTAAGCTTTTGCAAACAAGTCCTCCATGATTAACACAGTTTCTTCCACAGTCTTCATTTCAGAGGGTAATCGTCAGTTCATGGTGAGTTCAGAGAGTCATTTTAATTTTAAAAAATTCCAAACTGGGGTCAATAATGTTCATCTAATCTTATCTAAAAACACCCAAGATGCAATTGCAGGTTCATTGCATTTTTGCCACACAGGTTTACGGATGAAAATCATTTTCATTGTTTACATACTTGTTACACATCAACATTAATCATCAGTGTTTGGAATGATTGTGAACTGTGACGTGTTTATCTGGCACATAGAACTACAAACCTTTGCCCAGGGGCGTTTTTATCAGGGGATATGCACAACTAAAATAAAAGGTGTGTCAGGGACCACACTGAACCACAAGATTTGCTACTTATCCCTTAGTCTATTATTTTACTGTAATGGGGCAAATTTTAGCAAATAAAACTAAGATTTGCAGATAATAATGTGTTAATAAAGTGTCTTGGAGACCTTGGTGGCAGTAGTTTTTCAATCAATCAATCAATTAAATTAACTTTGTATAGCCCAAATTCCTAAATCATTATTTGTCTGATAAGACTTAACAAGGTGCGGCATCCTCCGTCCTTAACCCTCAACAGGAGTGAGGATAAACTACGAAAAAACTATTAACAAGGGAAAAAACATTGAAGGGTTCCCTCTCCCAGGACGAACAGAAGGTGCAATAAATGCTGCATGTAACTAAGAATGTCAACAAACAGTATATTCAACATCGATTAGAAGAAACAGCGTTGCAGCCAAATTCAATACAATAAAGTAACAGGTGACTCCTTCCTCAGATGTAAAAAAACAACAGAAAAAAACACAGAAAATGCCTCCTTACTGCTCCTGTGGTGTCATCCAAGCATCTCTAATCCCCAACATTCAAATTCAACTTGAAACAAGGTAATCTACATTATGTTTTTAGCCTTAATGTCCTCAGTGATCCATGCACGAATGTGTTTTTACGTTTGAAGGAGTGGTCACCATTTACTTCAATTGTATTTGATTTGGCTGCAATGCTGTTTACCCCTGAAACTCCAGACTGTTGAGTGAGTCCACTGTTTTGTGGACTCAAACACTTCACCCAATCCCTCATCAGCATAGTGGTGAGTGTATAATGTGTGGGGTTTTATTTTGGGGTGAACTATCGCTATACATTTCCAAATGTAGGAGTGGCATATAGCTTTTATTTTGAAGACAAGACACACGACTTCCGGGTTTCTCCAGCCTGACTTCCCGGCTCTGGGAGGCGGAAGGCGTGCACGCGGAACTGATGCGGAAGAGCAGCGGTTGGACGTGCGGCTGACCCGCAGTGCAGTCTGGGAGCTGACAGCCGTCTCTGTTCGCTTCAAGCTAACGACGCTCATCTCTGTTTCCGTGCACACAGCGGGGCCGCGCAGCGACGCACCGGAATATGTAGCATATGATCACCTGTCGTCTGCGGACCAAGCTGCTTCCTGTCACCGGGACGCGACTCGTGTGAGCGGGTGACATCGGAGCTGCCGGGGCCCTGGCTGCATCCCCATCACTCCATCGCTACTAACGTTAGCACAGCCCGCTTCTCACGTCGCGGAAGCCGCCAGTCTCTGCCTTCCTCCTCCGGCCGGACACACGAATGAATGACAGCCGCTGGCCTGCGTCGTATCACGGTGAGATTTCCCATCAGCCTGAGTCCATGACGTTACAAAGTGTCATGGAGGGTGACGTGAGCTGAAAACAAACACCTCACCCAGCTAGGGACCAGGTAGCTGTTAGCCAGTTAGCTCCGACCCACTCAAACCACACTGGCAGTGACGCGTATAATCACATCGTGAGAATCCTCTTTAACCAAAGGTGTTTTTATGTTTTCATTGTGTCATGTGTAGCAACATGGATTCCCTCCTCAGTGCTAGCATAAGGTACGCTGCTGTGTGGGCGACAGGTGTGTGCACCTGCTCCCTGTTGTTGACACTGACAGCTCTGTCAGTAACTACCCATGTTCCTATGAGCAACAAAGAGAGGGGACCCCCTGTTACTGACTTCTTTTATGTATGAATGAATCTCCAGATAGGATCAGATCTTCCTGTCTGTCACAATAATGAACAAACACAATCTGTTTTGACTAATTCCGCACAAATGGTTGTTAACGTGTATACCTGTATCAGTAAACCTCTACCATGGCCCAAGTCCTCTCATGAAGCCACATTAAAGTCACATGATCCAGGTTTACATTTGGATCTGTACCAGGTTGCACACACTGCCTTAAACATCCCTACAGGTCCATGAACTGTTCTCTGAGAAATCAATAAAAATGTAAAAAAAAAATTAAAAGAAGGCTCCATCTCACAGGGTTATAGAAAGTAGAAAACATGTCTGGATCTGAACCAAAATGTTATAGGTTCTTCCCTGATCCATACCACATCCTTCAAATAGTGTCGTGGAAATCAGCTCAGTAGTTTTTGTGTAATCTTTGCATAACTGGACTAACAATCACACAAACGCATGTGACAACATAACCTCCTTTGCAGGGGTACATTTCAAAGGTGAATATTTATATTCACAGTGTAGGTTGGAAATAGTATTTGCATTGTTAGGCTAATGACAAGAACTCAAAAGCATTACTTCACATCAACAAGAGCTGATTTCATGGTGAGGCTGTGGTGACTGCATTGTCATGATAAACCCCAACCAGACTCTCACTGTTCACCAGCTGCACATATATCTGTTGTCAGGAACAATCTTTGAGAATGAATTGATGATAATTTTGTGTTATCAGTGTGGAGTTCCTCTTCTTCTCTAAACTTATTTGTTTTCGGAGGTCATTATGTGACTCAGCCTGTCATCAGCTGTCATGCTTCATTTCCAAACACATTAAACATAAAAGTAAGTGACGGCACATAATGATGGGCTCCGGCATTTTGGTTCCTATTCAAGCATGAAGATGACTTAACTTAAAGTAATGATCCTTTTGTGTTGGTGTTGTCTCATCGTCCTCTTGTTGTCTTTGTTTTGTTCTCTTCTCTTTTTCTTTAGGTGTGATGTACACATGTGTCCCCGGTGTTTTACATTAGAATAAAAATCACCCAAGAGAATGAATGCAGAGGAAGTGGAGCTGCTCAGTGACTCCAAGTACAGGAACTATGTGGCAGCGGTGGACAAAGCCCTCAAGAACTTTGAGTACTCCAGTGAGTGGGCAGATCTCATCTCTGCACTGGGTAAACTCAACAAGGTGAGGATCAGAGAGGTTGCAGCTTGGTTTACATTTACATGTAGTAGAGGTGTGTTCCAGTGAACAAAACAAATCTCTGGCTTTTGTCTTGCATGGGAATGGATAGATCATGATTGAATTCCAGGAGACATGGGTGTTTACCTGCTCTGGCTCCAATCGGCAGTGATAAAAACATGACACCTGGGTGTCAAACATTTCTCCACACAAAGCAGAGATTTTTTTTTTCGTCCCTCACCTACATACTCTGCATATTCACATGCAGAACCTGTTTACAGAGATTATATTGCACATGGATACCACATAATTATTAAGTCGTCATAAGTCTGCTCTTGTGTGAGATGCAGAGTGGTTGTCACCCTGCTTGTCCGCATTGCTCCTTTAAACCATTATATTTTTACGTCCTGTGCATCTCAGGTTTTGCAGAACAATGCAAAATATCAAGTGGTTCCCAAGAAGTTGACGATAGGCAAACGGCTGGCCCAATGCCTCCACCCCGCCCTGCCCAGCGGGGTCCACCGCAAGGCCTTGGAGACATATGAGATCATCTTCAAGATCATTGGCCCCAAGAGACTGGCCAAAGACCTCTTTCTTTACAGGTAATATTGTCTTATCTACGCGGTAACGTAGGGGCCAATAAATGATCTTGACACAAGTCTTTTGCTAGTATCTGATCTTGAACATGAGCTCTAACTTCTTCATCCTCTGCAGCTCCGGGCTGTTCCCTTTACTCTCCAACGCTGCCATGTCTGTGAAGCCTGTGCTTTTGGGGCTCTATGAGACCTACTACTTGCCCCTGGGGAAGACTCTGAAACCAGGCCTACAGGGGCTACTGACCGGGGTCCTGCCTGGTCTGGAGGAGGGCTCTGAGTACTACGACAGGTAAGAAGAGCAGAAAAAAGTGCACATGCAGGCATTAGAACAAGCCATTAGGAGACAGCATTTTAGAGTATTATGAGGAGAGGAAGTGATTGCAGATTGTATGAATAATATATGAGATTTCTGAGTCATTGCAAGATACATTAAAATTGAAGATAGTCTTAGACATCTGTCTCTGTTTCAACTTTTGTTGAAAAAAATATCTGTCGTCTCTTACTTAGGTAAAACAACTAACTAAAATGCTTGCACATGATGCTGTTTTGTTTCCATGTGTTCAGCTGTGTCACAAATAAAAAAACCTAATCAGTGTTATACTGCCAGTCAGAAGTTTAACAGCACATCCATTTTCCAAGTCCAGTGAATAACCTGAAATGGTACAAAGGAAAAAAGTTAATGTCAACAAAAAGAAAAATAATTAAATTTCATAGAAACCAGGGATGAAGAAGTTGGTGAACTTGCAGATCTCATGCAGCAATTGAAGTAACTGAAGTAGTTATTCTGGGATATACTGTTTTTTGTTGTTTGTTACACAATGTACTGTTCTGCAGCTGCTTTGGCACTTTGGAAAAATGTCCCCATGGGGACAATAAAGTATATTTCATTGTTTGACTTCAGAGGTAATTTCACTGACAGTTTCTTCCTCAAGGCCATCACTTCACTGAACCCAAATAGACACCAGACTTTTATTTTCCCTGTGCAATACTCCTATCATTATTCACGTGCAATACCATGTAATTGCTATTTATTTCCATATCACAGTATATTTACGTTTAAACTGAAGTGTCATATACTTTATTTTGT